GTGAATTGTTAATCAAAATATATATGTTTATTCCCCCCCAAAAAACTAATGACGTCATCTTAAAATTTTGCTCAATAAATTCTACCTAAAATGTGTAAAATACATATAATGAGTTTTTACTTGTGATTTATCACTGAATTAATATTTTTTAGATTTGCTTAAACGGGTTAATGAATGAATCAATTTTTTTTATTGATTAAATCAGGAAAGGCTCACTTAATTTTCCCAGAAAATTTTGAGAATACAAATTTTTCAATTTCCATTTTACACTAAATAAATAAGACAGTGAAATGAAGAAAGGAGGTAGCCGGGGCTAGATTTAGCTTTTATTTTCTAGTTTTATGAGCAAACGATTGCCCCACCCACCCACCCCTTCTTCGTTGCAGTGACTACTCTTAATACTGTTCAGTCATGCCTTAGCAAATTTTAGCCCCGCCCACCCACCCTCTCTTCATTCCAGTGATTACTCTTAATATTGTTTAGTCTGTTAGGAAAATCAATCTTATCTTAACAAGTACTAGCTCCACCCACCTACCCTCTATTTTCTTAAAGGGTATGGCATTTACCAAAATCAATCTTATCTTAACAGATACTAGCTCCGCCCACACACTCTGTTCTCATTCTAACGATTTTATCTCTCTTCAATTGAGATCAACCTTTCATTCGGACTATACAAAATGAATCACTGAAATAGAGGCGGGGTGGGCGGGCGGGGTCAATTATATGTTCTTTTACCGTAGGCTGTTAAAAAAAGCTTTAATTGTAATTCTTTTGTTATACAAGTTATTTGCTACAATATTTATTTCTTATATCTGAAGAAAAAAATGACAGAACGGGTGGGCGGGGTTAAGTTTATCTTTATCCTCCAGAATCTCTTATAAGCAAGCAATAGCCGCGCCCACCCAACCTCTCTCCATTCCAGTGATTACTCTTAATATTGTTCAGTCACTTAACAAGAACAATCTTATCTTAACAAATACTAGCCCCGCCCACCCACCCTCTATTTTCCTAGAAGGTATGTCGTTTGTCACGACTAGCCTTATCTTAGCAAGTACTAGCCCCTCCCACCCTCCCTTTATTTTCTTAGAAGGTACGTCATTTACCCAAATCAATCTTATCTTGGCTGATACTAGCAACGCTCATACACTCTGTTCTCATTTTAGCGATTTTATGTCTCTTCAATTCAGATCCACTTTTCATTCGGGCTAGACAAAACCAATAACTGAAATGGAGGCGGGGTGGGTGGGCGTGGTGAATTATATGTTCTTTTGTAAAATGAGAATGACAACTAATGGAATGTAAGCTGTTGAAAAAAACGTGAATCGTAATTTTTTTATTATACTTCTTATTTGCTATAATATTTATTTCTTACTTCTAAAGAAAAAAAATGAGAGAACGGGTGGGTGGGCGGGGCTATGTGTAATTTTTCCCTAAAGAATTATAAGCAAGCAATAACCCCGTTAGGAAAAAATTGTTTATCATCTAGTATTTTGTGCCATTTTTAAAAATGCCCAAAGTCAAATCGTCTTTAAAGGATAAGTTAAGAGAATGAACGAAAAACAAAGAAGTTTTTCAAATAGAAAAAGGCAAATTTTTCTGTAAAGCCTGTCCAAAAATTGTAAGTATAAATTATTATTACTGTTGCGCAATTCAAATGGGAAAACTAGTTGTGAAATTATTTTCATAAATACGCATAATAATATATCAATTTCTGTAAAATAAATAAATAAATGAAATGAAAACATGAAAATACTGACATGCACAAAACGAATTTTACTAAAGATACCAGGCAAACTGTATTTTCTTCATTTCATAGTAAGACCATAAGAAAAAAAATTACTATGAATTATGCAGTACATTTTTTGAGACAAATATGCCATTGAAAAAACTGTATATTGCGCTTATTTTTGAAAAGAAACTACAAAATAATATTTCTAAGGAATCAACGACGTAATATTATAAGGCGAACTTAAATGTTGTCTGTGACCCAATTTCTGAAATTATAACATTAATTCAAATATAATAATACAGGTACATATATTATAACGAACAGCGCTGTATACATCGCCAAATGTGGCAAATATCTGGAAATATTGTATCCCAACTTAATTGATGTAACATGTTTGGCTCACGCCTGAAGTTTAGCAGCTCAAATCATCCGAAATCAATATGAAGATGTCAATGGTTTTATTTACCACGTAAAGAAAGTGTTTCTTAAAGCTCATTTGAGGATCTAAGCCTTCCAAGAAGCTTTATCGGATTGTCCATTGCCTCCAGAACCTGTTCTGACAAGATGAGGTTCAAGCGGTAATTTTTCTGGTGAAAATTTTGAAAAATATCTAATTTATTATGCAAATTATAAAAAATAAAACTGATTATGTAAAACTAGACGTTGCGCTTATTTTGCCATTTAACACTAACTCAGTTAGATTTTATTTTTCAAGGACCAGTACAAGTAGAACTAAAAGGGGTAAAAGAACACGTCGCACTTCATATTTTATGCAACGTTAGCTTAACAAGTTTTCCAGATAACGTCATCACTTTTTAGAGAAGAAGTCGTAACAATGGCGTAATTGTGAAAATAATTAGATACCAATTAATAATAGTGGATACTAGAGTTCCGCGCTGCATTGTTGAATAAACTGCTGAATAAACCAATTGGAAGTTAAAACCATATATTCTGCACGATTAATTTATAGCGCAAGTTGAAATCATGAACGGGTCTTCCACTCAGCTAACCGCAAAAACATGAAAGGGCAAATGATAAATCGACCAAACTGAACCCTTCAAATTTAGTGCATCTTTTAATAAAGTTAGTGTTAATTTTTTTGTTTTAAAGAGAGTAAAAAATGAGCTTTTCTTTAATTTAGCTAGTGGTGGTTGCAATTATTGTAAATGGAGCCGCAGTGGCTTATGCATCTGCGAAGATTAAAATGTCCGCAGTGGATGCTGTTTTTTACCGGATGTGTGGTAATGTAGGATAATCATGACGGGGTTGTTAAAATATACGGTTGTGCCAGTGGTGGAGAAAACGTACTGTTCTATATTTCTAGCGTGCGTTTTTAATTAAATCGGTGGATACGGTTTGCTTAATTAGAGCGAGTGGTTTAGAGAATGACAGGCGAGTAAAGTGGTTAGTTTAGGCTATTAAGGGACAAGATTTTGGTAATTTAGTTAAGTGTTTTAATATTTTAATTTGTAAGAGTGGATTGAAGAGGTGGCCCCTAAATGTTTTTATAAAAAAAAAACAAGTCGTCAATTTTGTAGTAAAAAGATTTTTTCGTCAACATCAGTAATAGCTCATAAACGTTGTGGTTGTCAAATTTTTACATGTTTTTTTATGAGCGTCTAAATGCAATAAAAAAATCAACTTTTGTCAGAATGTGTTTGAAGTTTGTTTATTACTTAAAATAACAATAATTAAAATTTCATCATTATGCACTCCGTCTGTATTTACACGTAAATACTTTATAAAACTTATGATATACTTGAGGATGAAACCGGATTACAAACTTTTCTTGACGGGACATAAATGTAAAGGACTAATGTAATATGTATTTATGCAGACTAAAGTACTAAAAAAGTCATTGTAGTTCAGCTTTATCGTGTACGTGGAAATTAAAATTAAATGTCAGACAAATAATTTAATATTTTTCGACCTTGCATGCTTGAACTATAATATAGCGGCTAAATAGTCAGAATAGAGTAGAATTAAAATTTAATACCACTAGAACCAGTCGAGTATGCAGTAAAGTAATAAAAAAAAATCTTGAAAGAGCAAACGGAAACGGAAGCACTGAAAGAAGTTGGTAAGTTTGAAGCTATTTAACACATTTGTTTCCCCTTTTTTTTTCGTACATCGGTCGAAATTTTTCATTTACTACCAGCGGGTTGTTTACAATTTGATAGATATCAAAAATATTTACTCAAAAAGTGACGCTTTTATAAATTATTTAACCGTCGTTTTATGTATCTCTATGAATATATAAATTTCGTAAACATGTTTATTTTGAAAAGTATCACTAGAAAAGAAATGATTACGTTAAAAATTCTTGTTTACCAATAGTTGTAACTAAAGTGTTTACACTTTTTACTATGATTTTTTTAATACTAAATCATTCGACAATAGTTCAAGACATAATAATAGGGATAATTATTAAATATTAACAAGTGTGTTTTCGTAACATAGATAATGCGTTCGAATCGTAAATAGTGGCGTAGTATGGGTAATTAAAGTATTATACTTAAATAAACAAGCTCGACAACAATTCACGAAAATATATAGTGTCATTAAAAAAAAATTGGATGTCGTAGACAAACCCAACAAAATTTATAGGTTGTTAAAACGCATTTATAGGGAAGTCCTGTCGAAATAACCTTCGACAATTTTTTTTTTAAATGTAATGAAATCGCACATTTATCATGAATAAACACGTAACTTCTGTATACAGAACGTCCGCTCCAACTGACGTCGACGTAACCAATTAATTGATCCTTCTAGTGATTAAACATTCCGTGTTCCTTTCAAATAACGTAGAAATCCTCTTTCCAGCTGTTTACTGTTCTGGACCACGATAATTGTTAAATTGAGTGAGACGAGTAATTACACTGCAGTGTACTGGAAATGTATGTAGTTGTGGTTACATACATCAAAGCTCATAATCATTCCCCGGATTTTTAAAATGATGGATGTGATGTAGATCAATTTTTTTGCGTACCTATTAGTCGTCTCCCACGCTACTCCTACTGAAAACATTGTGATAACTTGTCCCGTTGGAAACCTCGATATAAATAAAATCAGTCAGTTTGTAACGTCTCCTTTTACACGGCTGAACGAGCCGGCAACACCGTGTTAGGTCGTACGTCGATTAACCTGTCAATTTTCTCTAAGCCACCTACAACGTCAAACGCTCCACCGATTCCATTTTATCCATCTATTCTAAACAAAACGTGGTGCGAATGTGCTCTCTAATTTCAATCTACGCATGACTAGAACGTACAGTTGTCGGTTTCTGCGCTCTGGGAATGGTGTTGCTCACTTGAGTAGCTCCGGGGGGGCTAAGTGGGGCCAGAGGACAAGACGGTCGATGGGGTTGATGGTGAAATTTGGGTTGGTACGGCTCCAACATGCGGATTTTCCCCCATCGGTTGAAGAACAAGGCAATGGCAGCTACCCATATCATGAGCACCAGGACCACGAGCAGCACCTCTTCGACACGGACTATCACCACTGGTCCGTCTGGAAAAAAATAATTAACTTCTGTTTAATCATTATTAAGAAAAATAAAACTCAATTTTACACAGGAGCGTTCATTATTAACGGCGCAAGCATTCGCGATCGATCTTTCCCTGTTTGACGTGGTCCCACTCAAACAAAACATTAATTATTATCAAAGGAACGAGCGAGGAATTTTTAGAAATAATAAGCAACTGAAAAATTCACGATCGTTATGGCATTTTAGTTGTAAAAGTTTTAAATTATTCGGGCACGCGACTGCACACTTTTGCCGGTAAAATATTATGGCTGTCGTTGAAGGATGGATTAAATAATTAATTTGGGTATCTCTTAGCATAATGGATGTGGAGGTGGCACTTTCTTCTACGTTTACACCGGATGGCAGAGGATAAACGGTTTCGTTTACCGCTACATTACGCTAAAAGCTTAAATGAAAACAGCTTCTGCAAGAAGAGCTATTTTCTTTTAAACTAAGTAGACATTCAAGGGGGTGGACGCGTATATATACAGCTCGCATTTGTTTATGTTTGAGGGAAAAGAGCTTGTCGGAAGGAAAACGCTGTGCTTTTGAGTTTTCACAAGTCAAATTAAACGAGATAAATAAATTGGAATTTATATATGTTTAGAAAGGAGTTTATCCGGATAATCTAAGTAAAAAAATACCAGTGGCGTCAAAGTGAATTTATTTGTGTGGTATTGTTTATAGTATTTAACTGGATTTGTTATTCAAAAGAAGTTAATAAATTATGCAGATTATTATCGACATTATTATTCTAGACAAAAATATATTACTTATACGCTGACGTACGAGGGTAGCGCCAGAAATTCCCGGCCTGGCTATGAAAGAAACGGCGTAGACTTACAATTAAATTTTATTTTTCAATGTAGTCCTCCCTGACATCAATGCACTTATTAGATCGTTTCAGCAACAATTCAATACATTTAAAAAAATATTCTTTCTGCTTGGTCCCAAAATGTGCCGAAACTGCAGACTTCACCTCTTCGTCGTCTCCAAAATGGCATCCTCGAAGGTTTTTTTCAATTTTTTAAACAGGTAATAGTCACTGGAGGTCATATCTTGGCTATAAGTAGGGTGATAGATTTGTTGAAAAGTTCAATCACGAACTTGCGTAATTGCAGCAGAGTGCACGGATGCATTGTTGTGCAGCACACCATCTTTCTAGTGAATTTTCCACGCCTGGAGTCTCGAATATTTTGGCGTAATTTACGCACAAGTGCTACGTAATATGTCGCATTAACTGTGGTGTTGCGTTCTTTAAAATCTGTAAGAAGAATGTCTTCAGAATCCCAAAAGATGGTAGGCATCACCTTTTTTGTCGACTGACAGACTCTGAACTTTCTTGGTGGTGCTTCTCCTTTTCATCTCCATTCCATCGACTCTCTTTTGTACAGAGGCTCTTAGTACAGAACCATAGTTTCATGCCCTGTGACATTTGTCTTCGGTGCGTCCACAGGATTTTCTCCACAGAGCTCCAAAAAAGACTGAGCAGATTCAACACGACGCTGGCGCTGAATTGCTGGGAGATATTTAGGAACTCACATTGCATTAATTTTATTCATGCCTAAATGATCATGGACGATTCGGCGAACGGTTGTATCTGAGAGCCTCGACTTTTGTGCTATTTCTTTCACCTTCAAGCGTCGATCATATAATACGAGATCCTCAACAAGAGCAATATTGTTATCCGTTAACACTTCCATGGGCCTTCCTGTTCTAGATCATCTTCCAAAGATTTCTAACCCATTCGAAACCGTTTTGACCACTCCTTCATCACAGAATATGTCGGTGATTTTTGGCCATACACCTCGTCCATCCGATCTTTAATGTTTTGAGAGGAAATACCTCCTGGAGTGAGTAATTTTATACTCAATTTTCGTGACTTCTGACATCGTGATGAACAAATGTGTGTTACCAAAAAACTATTTGGCGTAAGCTGCATTTTTGTATGTTTCAGACCTAATGAGACTTGAACTGACATATTTCTAAGATTTTGTCCTCCTACTGTACCTGGATCTATGCCAGGCCGGGAATATTTGGCGCTACCCTCGTATGTTTATGAACTTTGTTGAAAAATTGTTTCTATAATTGAGACCAATCCCAGTAAACACAGTTACGTTGCAGTGATGTTAATGTTTAAATTTGTTTCTTTTTATTGTAATAAATTAAGGGGACTCGCTAGATGAGGTATGAGAGCGCAGAGACCAGTTCAATCAATTAAAAAAATATGGCTGAGAAATATTGTAAAAAAAGCACCATTGTATGTTTTCTTTTCAAGTTTTTTGAGTCATAACCATCATAGAATCGCTTGAAAATTTGCACATGGATAAAACATCACTTTTTACAGGTCGCAGAGTCATTAAATGTTTGCTAGTGATACAATTTGTTTAAATAATAATGTGTTTATTAAAATCAAAATATACCACAAATTAATGCAAAATACGTCGAATAATTTTAACAGGAATATCAGAGGAAAATTAATGATCTATTGGTTAGCAGAGTTTTTAGCAAAAACTAACAATTATTGAAAAAAATGGGTATCAATTCGACAGATTTTGAGCCGTTAGTTCAGTACTTTGCCGATAGGAGCGCCACTAAAATTTACGGTAGCGACTTTCCAGGTAAAACCCTTATCACGTGCTCTACCATAAGCTGATTGTTAGCGTTCTCGGCTGATTTTTCTAATTTATGGCAAGGAACTCAGTTTTATAACAATCCGCCAGGACCGGCCGTAGTAATCTATTGTTAAGGAAATTAACTTTTACGCAATGAGGTACTATCATAAAACCGAATTAAAACTGGGGAACTATAATATTTTTACTGCACTCAGGATCCTGAATTCAATACCCATAATTACTAAAAATTCATTGTAATATTGTTAATATATATTTTGCTTTGTTAATTTATAAAACTAATAAACATATTTATAGTAATAATAAAAAATATATAAAATACAGCTCTTGTTTAACACGTATAAGTAGCTAAGTCTATCTACTACTTATCCCAGAAAGGAGGTGTTTTAAAAAAGCCCTACGCCCAGTAACTTCTCCCTTCATTGTTTACTGGAAAAAAGTGCTCGTATATGTTTTCATTTGCCGAGAGATCATTTTCAAAATATATTTATAATAAAAATATGCAAGTCTTGGTTATGAAAAATGTACTCCTAATAAATTATTAAAGTATAGAAAAAAATAGAAACAATTTTTATTTATTTAAAAAAAATCTCTCGCAAAGGCAGGTACCTCTTTCTTCTTGAATCAATTATTTCGGGCAATAATGCGCCAAAGTAAAATCTGCCAAGTTTATCTGCCATCTTTTTACATATTTCTTCGTCGTTATAAATTTTTTCTATATTTATTCCTTTGGGCGTCCACACAACAAAATAAACTTGTGAAATACCCGTAACAAGCATTTGTCCCTGGACTTGAAAGTAGTAATCATGATTTTTTTTTAGTTTCAATTCTCTGTCTGTCAATGTACAAAATTGGATTATTTTTTTTCTAACCGCTTCTTCGGGAGACAGATCTTGCGAATTTGAAGGGCATTTAATTTCGACTAATGCACTCCTATCCTCTAGAACCCTGTCTGGACTAGCAGCCAAGTAAGGAAATTGTTTTGAAATAAAGAAGCCACACCGTTCAGTTTTTATATTTTTATTTATTTCAAAACAGCTTTTTCCTCACTTTGTTGTCCATAGTATGTATGACTATTACCTCTAAATGTACTGTACAACAGAGACTCCACAGTTTGAGCTGTTGTTGTAGTCGGTCTAAGTTTGTAAATACGTCCAAAATTTGAAGCCGTAACCCTAATTTCTCTTTCTTTTGCCCAAATGTGCCTGTTGCCTAGTGTCTATTTCAATTTGATCTAAATTCAAAGATAATTTTCTCAAAAAAAACGTCTTTGGCTGTCACAAATGTTTCTACATCTATGTCAGGATTATCTAAAAAATATTTAAACCATAATCGCAATCGGGACCAGCATACATACATTTTTTTTAGACATATTTTTTTACGAATACTTTGTCTAAGACGAGCTTGTTTCATAGACGAACAATATTTTTTTGTTAGGAGAGCAGGATCGTTTTAATCACAATATATCAACTTATCCCCTCTAAAAAATTCATGACGTCACCTTAAAATTTTGCTGAATAAATCCTATCTAAAATGTACAAAATATGATGAGTCTCTTCTTGTAATGTATCATTCCATTCATATTTTTTGGATTCGGATATACAGGATGACTCAAAAAATTTAATGAATACGCAAATTTATTTTATTCATTTAATCAGGAACTACAAAACCGAATGCTTTGAAATCTAATGTGAAAAAAAAAAACATAATAGGCATGCAGTCGTCACGTTTCCGATAGCCATGGAAGTACTGTCTAAATTCTTTAGACCGATTTTTTTGATTGTCCCATTTCTCCATTTCTCAATTTTTCAATGTTTCAGTTTGGGATTTTTTCACTGTTTCGATTCTTTAATTTTCCTTCCATTTTTAGGTTTTTCAATATTTCAGCTTTGGAATTTTGCAATATTTCGTTTCTTTCGTTTTTAAATTTTTCGATATTTTAATTTTTCAGTTTTTAAAGTTTTAGCTTTTTAGATTAGTGAGATATCTCGACTTTTCGATTTTTCAGTTCCATGATTTTTCAATTTGTCGAATTTTTAAATTTTAGATTTTTTGTTTTCTTTAATGTTTTGAGTTCTCGATCATTCGATTTTCTGAGTTTACAGGCTTAGATTTTTTTTGTTGTTCAATTCTTGGATTTTTAATAATTTTTAATTTTTTGTTTTTTAAATTTTCATATTTATCAACTTACTGGGATTTCAATGTTTTGATTTTTTGATTGTTCAATTTCTCGATTTTTTGAATTTTTAGTTTTTGATACGATTTTTTTTTTTTTCAAAAATGTTCAGTTTTTCAATTTATTAACTTTACGATACTTCAGTTTTGTTCGATTTCGATTTCTCAATTTTTCG